ACTATAATATAAATTGTAATAAAGGCAGATACTCTATCTGTAATATTAATCACAGTTTGTATTGTAATAATGAGATAGAACTCCGTTTTTTTTGATGTAATAAAAGGGGGATAACTCTATCTTATATATTAATTACTGTTTGTATTGTAGTAATAGGATTGATTACAGTTTTCATTGTAATAATGAGAGAGAAATCCGTTTTTTACTGTAAGATATATTGTAATAAAGGGAGATAACTCTATCTGTAATATTTATCACAGTTTGTATTGTAATAATGAGATAGAGCTCCGTTTTTTTGATGTAATAAAAGGGGGATAACTCTATCTTATATATTAATTACTGTTTGTATTGTAGTAATAGTACTGATTGCAGTTTTTATAGTAATAATGAGAGAGAAATCCGTTTTTTACTGTAAGATATATTGTAATAAAGGGAGATAACTCTATCTGTAATATTTATCACAGTTTGTATTGTAATAATGAGAGAGAAATCCGTTTTTTACTGTAAGATATATTGTAATAAAGGCAGATAACTCTATCTGTAATATTAATCACAGTTTGTATTGTAATAATAGGATTGATTACAGTTTTCATTGTAATAATGAGAGAGAACTCCGTTTTTTTTACTGTAATATATATTGTAATAGAGGGAGATAACTCTATCTGTAATATTAATCACAGTTTGTAATGTAATAATGAGAGAGAAATCCGTTTTTTACTGTAAGATATATTGTAATAAAGGGAGATAACTCTATCTGTAATATTAATCACAGTTTGTATTGTAATAATAGGATTGATTACAGTTTTCATTGTAATAATGAGAGAGAACTCCGTTTTGTTTACTGTAATATATATTGTAATAAAGGGAGATAACTCTATCTGTAATATTTATCACAGTTTGTATTGTAATAATGAGAGAGAACTCCGTTTTTTTACTATAATATAAATTGTAATAAAGGCAGATAACTCTATCTGTAATATTAATCACAGTTTGTATTGTAATAATGAGAGAGAAATCCGTTTTTTACTGTAAGATATATTGTGATAAAGGGAGATAACTCTATCTGTAATATTAATCACAGTTTGTATTGTAATAATGAGATAGAACTACGTTTTTTTTGATGTAATAAAAGGGGATAACTCTATCTTATATATTAATTACTGTTTGTATTGTAGTAATAGTACTGATTGCAGTTTTTATAGTAATAATGAGAGAGAACTCCGGTTTTTTTCTATATGTAATAAAAGGGGGATAACTCTTATATATTAATTACTGTTTGTATCGTAGTAACAGTACTGATTGCAGTTTTCATTGTAATAATGAGAGAGAACTCCGTTTTTTTTACTGTAATTTAAATTGTTATAAAGGGAGAGAACTCTATTTTGTATATTAATTACAGTTTGTAATGTAATAATAGGATTGATTACTGTTTTCATTGTAATAATGGGAGAGAACTCCGTTTTTTTTTTTACTTTATTTTAATATGTAATAAAGGGAGATAACTCTATCTTATATTTTCATTGCAGTTTTCATTGTAATAATAAGAGAGAACTTCAAATTTTACTGTAATTTATATTGTAAAAAAGGCAGATAACCATATCTTATATATCAATTACGGTTTGTATTGTTTTGGGTCCTGGTAGTTTATTGCCATTGGGGCATGGTGGTTTATTGACATTGTGGGCTGGTGGTTTATTGACATTGTGGGCTGGTGGTTTATTGACATTGTGGCCTGGTTGTTAATTGCCATTGGGGCCTGGTGGTTTATTGACATTGTGGCCTGGTAGTTTATTGCCGTTGGGGCCTGGTGGTTTATTGACATTGTGGCCTGGTTGTTTATTGCCATTGTGGCCTGGTAGTTTATTGCCATTGGGGCCTGGTTGTTTATTGACATTGGGGTCTGGTGGTTTATTAACATTGGGGCCTGGTGGTTTATTGACAGGGTTAGGGTTAGGGTAACCCCAACCCTGGGGCCTGGTAGTTTATTAACATTGGGACCTAGTGGTTTATTGACATTGGGGCCTGGTGGTTTATTGACATTGGGGCCTGGTGGTTTATTGACATTGGGGCCTGGTGGTTTATTGACATTGTGGCCTGGTTGTTTATTAACATTGGGGCCTGGTAGTTTATTGACATTGTGGGCTGGTTGTTTATTGACATTGGGGCCTGGTAGTTTATTGACATTGTGGGCTTTTGGTGTATTGACCTTGTGGGCTAGTGGTTTATTGCCATTGGGGTCTGGTGGTTTATTGACATTGGGGCCTGGTGGTTTATTGACATTGGGGCCTGGTGGTTTATTGACATTGTGGCCTGGTTGTTTATTGACATTGTGGCCTGGTTGTTTATTAACATTGGGGCCTGGTGGTTTATTGACATTGGGACCTGGTAGTTTATTGACATTGTGGGCTGGTTGTTTATTGACATTGGGGCCTGGTAGTTTATTGACATTGTGGGCTAGTGGTTTATTGCCATTGGGGTCTGGTGGTTTATTGACATTGTGGGCTAGTGGTTTATTGACATTGGGGCCTGGTGGTTTATTGACATTGGGACCTGGTGGTTTATTGACATTGGGGCCTGATTGTTTATTGACATTGGGGCCTGGTGGTTTATTGACATTGGGACCTGGTGGTTTATTGACATTGGGGCCTGGTGGTTTATTGACATTGGGACCTGGTGGTTTATTGACATTGGGGCCTGGTTGTTTATTGACATTGGGGCCTGGTTGTTTATTGACATTGGGGCCTGGTGGTTTATTGACATTGGGGCCTGGTAATTAATTGCCACTTGGGTTTTGACTTTGTCCTAAGGTATACGGCTGACTACTGCTCAAGTCTACCTTTAAGAAAAGTAGGATGTAAAATTTCAATCATTTTGTCAGTCTGCTTTTATGAGACGAGAAACAATAAATTGAGAATGTAGATGACCGTTAACATGGTGACGTCGTTGATATACTGAAATATTCACAGATTAGAGAATTAAGATCTAAGCAACTAATTACAGAATGACTACGTGACATCTTGCACCCCATTGGTCTATAGACATGTAATATCACAACTCAAACATCATTACATCTATTCTGTAGGACATCACCCTTACTTTTATATTGTTTGTATCAAGAGTGACTCTGTGAATCTTGAAATTGAAGTTAAAAATAAGATTATTCATCCATTTCTCTTCTTCCTTCTGTCTATCTATCCATGAATGAATGAAGTAAGAAGTTAAAAATAAAGAAAGGAAGGGAGAACCTTTACACCAG